AATTTTCCATGCACATTTGGAAATATTTCATATAATCATTATCTTTCTTGGTAAAACATTGTGATAAGACTTGTAAAGTTGCTTGCAAGTTTGTGTCTGCTCCTTTTTGAATCATCTTGTACTACAAAAAGCTGTCTCCATTATCTTTGTAAGTTGACATAAAGTAGTTGTGCAAAACATTTAAATTGCCCCGTACTCTTCTAATCACTCGTTACCTCATCAAATCTCTCTTCATAGGGCATGTAGTGTGCCCACACTATTTTGACAATAATCTTTGCATGCTTTCTACATCCAATTTCAACTGGACTAACCTAAACTTGTGCAGTACTCTGAATGTAGTCTCAATAGCACCACGTAGAGGGAAATAGCAATTTCCTCTCTTCTCCTACCCACTCCTTTTAAAGTATGCAGGTATGCAGCTTCTCTTATTTACAGTGAGTACACACAATTTACTTATATTAAACTTGGTACCCACCTGTAACCTCTAAACATCTTTCAGCAGGGAAAACTCAGGTATAAACAACATATACATGTATATATCATAGAGTCATAGAATAACTTGGATTGAAAGGGACCTTAAAGATCATCCAGGTCCAATCCCCCTGCCATGGGCAGGGATGCCACTCACTAGATCAAGTTGCCCAGGGCCTTGTCCAACATGGTCTTGGACACTTTCAGGGATAGGGCATCCACAGCTTACCTGGGCAACCTGTTCCAATGCCTCACCACCCCCTGGGTGAAGGCTGACACCTAACCACCTAATCTAAGCTTCCCCTCTTTAAGTTTAAAACCATTTTCCCTTGTCTATGATTATTTTTCTGAGCAAAAAGTTGTTTTGCATCAATTTAGAACTTTTAGAACACCCTTTAAGAACTGAACAGCTGCAATGAGGTCACCCCAGAGCCTTCTCTTCTTCAGGATGAACATCCCCAGATCTCTTGCCTTCCATATATGTATATACATGTATATGTATATACATGTATATATATATATGCATGTATATACCAATAAGAACACAAACCAGGTACTTTTTGCTCAACATTATACATATGCAATTCAGACCAAAGGATAAAAATATTGGACAGAAATGATACTCAGGCTGATGCTGAAAGGCACCTCTGGTTGGTCCACACATCTTCACTTTATCTATGAGGATGTTATGAGACAGTGTTGAAAGTCTTTATTGTAGGTAAACAATGCCTACTGCTCTGATCTCATCCACCAGTCTGGTCAGGAGCTTATTTCCTCTTATGCTTATTAATCCTAATCATCATCTTGTCATTCACATGGTTGGAAATAGTTTCTGTAATTATTTGCTCCGTAGCCTTCCCACAGACTGAAGTGAGGCTGACTGGCCAGTAGTTTTGCAAATCCTTCTTTTTACCTTTCCAGAAAACTGGAGTCACAACAACAACAAAATACAGAAATCTTCCATTAAGGATAATGAAGGAGATTTCACAATGTGAGAAGTCATGTCAGAAGGATTTTTAAAGTGAGAGTCGGGTGGTGCAAATAGGGAGAACCCACAGGGTGGGTGAAAAAAAAAACAAACTAACAAACATTGAAATACAAATAAAACTAGAATGTAAGTAACTGCTGCTTCTCGCTCAGGCACTCATACATGAAATAGTGCTGTTATCAAAGCCTTGTATTACTCTGAAAGCTAGTCTAAGTGAATAATTTGTCCAAGAATGTATTTTAAGCTGTATTGTGAACCAGGTGGTCTGCCCTACTATGAGCATGCCTGTAAATTTTGCTTTTGAACAATTTATATATATTAATTTTATTTTATTTTATTTTATTTTATTTTATTTTATTTTATTTTATTTTATTTTATTTTATTTTATTTTATTTTATTTTATTTTTATTTTGAGAAAAAGGCCATTTATCAGTGTAACACAAGGTCACTCATGGAAATAATGCTCTCAGAAATAACATTCAATTTTTGGGTGGTTCTTTGTGGACCTTGGAGTTGGGCTCAATCTTCATGGGTCCCCTCCAGCTCTGCATATATGTGATCCTGTGACTCTTCATTTATGAAAGTGATCACATGGTCATAATTTGGCCTACAAGTAAGGTTGAGGAATTGCTTGAAGAACATCATTTTTCTATTACTGGTGCAGTTAAAGATCAACAGCAATGAATTCTGTTCACTCGTGCCAAGCATCTGAGACTACTCTAGCAGTTCTCAGTAGAAGAAAAGACCATTATAGGTAGATATTTTAATATAAAGATGAATCAAGCACTAATGACTAAGTATTTCTCCACACCAGAAACATAAAGCTATCTTCCTGAAAGGTATATCATATCTCACAAATCTAGTTTAGTCATAGGAGTCAGATGAGTGAATGGTAGTGTAAAATAAAAAAATGGAAGACATTTTGTGTGAACATAAGGCTTGTTTATTCTTGAAAGACATCTGTTAAAAGTTATTTTCCTTGTGTTTAAGTTAAATTTCTTCCAGAAACTGCATTATTTTGTGTTCTCTTTGAAATATCAAGTGTCCTGTGGGCAATCCATTGATTAGATATTCATCAAACATACACATCCCAAAGCCCAATTATTCTAACTTGATGCTGTATATCAGTATTAGAAATGATTTTTAATTATGATTCCTATCTTGGAGAAAGCATATTGTCCTGTGATTGACAAGCTCTGTTCTTAGATTTGTGTTTCAGTTGCAGTACAGATATATTACAGATATGATAATTCTAGAAAATGTCTGTTGTGAATGTATTTTTATCTATAAAGAGAGTTCAGACATTAGTAAGCTGGTAGAATTTTTAAAATCCTCTAACAATTGCAAAGAATTGCAAAGGTATCCTTTTTTTTTTTTTTTTTTTTTTTACCTTATCATATCTCTTCTTACCCTACACATTCATGATATAAAATACTCAGTGATGTTATGTCTTTTCTGATGATGTTCATGAGAGACAGTCCATTAAATAAAAATGTTCTAAAAACTGGTGGACTGTATTGTAGTTTTAAAGTGGTGATTCAATCATTTGATGAGTTCTTAGTAAAGGTTCAAGTAGATATGGATATGGACAAATTTGGAAATCTTCAGCTCGTTGCATACAACACATCAAAAACTCTGCCTGGTAGGGGAGAAAGGAGTTGTTATCCAGTAACAACTATCATGCATCATTAGGTCTTTTTTGCAATATAGTTATGTCCTGAAATCATACTGAAAAATAGGAGCAGGATGAAATTCCAAAATTCTAGGTATATTAATGATTATGGAAGACTAATAATAAGACCATATCTAGAATGAAAAAAAAAAAAAAAAGTCAGTTTTCATATTTTTAATTTCTACTGGAGAAGAATGATAACATATATTATAGTAGTTCATTTTCAAGCCAGAAACTTCTACAAATCAACTCCTTCTTTACACAGTAGGACTTAAAAAGCTGTAGAGCATTATTTCCCACGCTTCACCCACATTGAAGAGTATCTACTCTGGAGAAAGAGAAGCTTTCTACTAATTTTTGAAATTATGTATGATACATAAAAATGTTTATCTTCTAAACACAAGCCACTTCCCTAACCCTTGCATTGTTTTTGTAAAGGAATAAATCTTACCATTTTCCTCCCACTTCAGTTGTATTTCTTGGGTGCTTCACCAACATTCGAGTCTGTGGAATAGAAAGAGGATATATTTTTGTTATTCCATTTCTTATTTCACTTGAGAATTACTGATAATAAGCCCTATGTGTTGAGCAACAGTGGAGAGCATAACAGCACATTCCATTCCCCATTCTGAAGTATGGAATAAGTGCAACTACTTGATTTGGACTTAGATATTCAATCTAATGGAAAATATGCTGCCAGCTGAAGACAGCTTTCACTGGCTGATAAACAGTTCAATGTGTGATAAAACTGGGTGACCCCTATACAATGGTTAGCAGAGAATTTAATAGGAGATCCCTATGTTTTCCCTACAGTCTCTCAAGTATCCTGAAACAATCTTCATCAGTAAACTATGCCAAGTTTTTTTATTATATTATTTTTTTTTATTATTTTTCCTTCTTTCCTTTCTTTCCTCATTTACCTCTTCCTTGTCCCTTTTTTCCCTCTTTTCCTTTTCCTTATTTATTTATTTATTTATCCCTCCCCCCCCCCCCCATTCTCTGATACTGGTTCCTATCCAGGTTCCATTCAAACTCATCAAAAATCCTCCATCTGTGTTGATAGCCTAAGGGCCCCTGGTTTCATGTTTTGCTTGTTTTTTCAAGGCTGCTGCTAGCATCCTTTGATGGTACATTGGACATTTTTCAGCAGATGGTCCCTAATGATGTTTTCTCACACATGGGTTCCTGGCAACCTTTACACATTATTATCACACATGAAACACAGTAAAGAAACAGTCTACTAGAGAATTATTGTAAATTATATAAATATATTCTGAACAATTTTTTAAACATTTGTCATTAACTTATATATATAATTAAATGAATGTAATTAGTGTAGGTTTTCCTTGGTTCTCTTCAGGTTATACAAATTTTTAGGGAAATAAAAGTAGTACCTCTTCAGGAACCCTCAGTGTTTAGGAACAGCAGTCACATGGATTTAAAATAATAGTTAAATGTTGGTGATCAAAATAGGAAAAACATGGGCTACTGAGTATCAGATATTAAATTTTACAAACAAATGACCTACAATGTCAAAAATAAATTTTCCACTTTAGTATTATCTTTAGGAATGTGGAATGTGAAGCTCTACCTGAATGACAAACAGAAGATGAAGCCATCCAATCCCCAAGCCACCACAGTCATATGCCAGTTGTCAGTTTTTGAGAATAAGGACAGAAGTCTCAAAGCAAGATGCTGACAAAGAGAAATGTTGTACAAAAGATCTAACATGTTAATATTTCCCTGTGTGGGAATATTACACAGGTCAAAAAAACCACAATGACATATCCTACTCCTGGGACAGCCCTCTCAACCCTTGCTGACTCTCAGAAATCCTGATCAGAATAAAATAGAAGCAAGCATTGTTACATCATCAGAACTAAATCTGCCATATTAGTTAATCATCTTTTTATTTTCCCATCTCTGGTTTTAAGCAGAAATTCAGGGATTTGTTAGTCAATATATATGATACATGAGAAAACTGAAGTGGAATTTGAGCAACAACATAAAACGCACTACAATGACTGTAATGACCTCTAACATTTGAATAATATGTATATATATATATATATATATATAAGTAAAATAAGTATGGCAGCACATGTTTAATCTACTAAAGTAAAAATGTGCAAATGAAGCTTCCTGTTGCATGTTAAAGGAAATTCTATAGCTTATTATGCGATCTGTTTTCCCCATAAGCATAAGAGAAGAGGACATATGCTTGGTAATGATGGAAAGAGGGTTTGGAATTGCTTGCCCCAGAACACATCAAGAAGAATTAATAAATATTACTCAGTACTGAATAGTCCTTTAGATTTGGAAAAACACACAAGTAGTCCATAATGAGGCACTCAATAAACCTCAAAGATACGGGGATTATTTATTTATTTATTCATTTTGTCCACCTGTGTTTTTGGCCTCAAGGTTGTATAGAAACTGACAGACAGGAACAACATGATTACAGTCTGAAATTTCAGTGAGTCTTTGCTGAATGCTTTGTTAAATAGTTTGTGTATGTGTATTAGCAGGCTAATAGCCTCAGTGATTCCAGACTTTCAGGCAGTCCACTCATCATGTGGACTGGCTTCAGATGTTGAAATCTCTAGAATATGGCGGGCCACATAGGAAGGTTATAGTCAATATACAGCAGCTTCTCTCTCCTGCTCCTCTCTCTTCACCACTTTTCTTGGTGCCTTAGACCCTGGAGGATAAAGTCCACCAACCAAGCTAGCAAGTGACATTTCCTGGTAAAATCAACAACAACAAAATAAAAATAAAAATATTAATAATAATAATAATAGAAACACCAACCACTTCTCCCTACTAGATATAACAATGTTTACTCAGTCAGCAATATAGAGGTTATACAATAATCAGAAATCAGCAGGAGAGCAACATCCAGCTTTGCTTACTTCCCATTCTGAGGATGTCATTTTGTTCTCCATACTGAACATTTATTTTAAAGACCATTACAATGAATACAGGATTTTTGCTTCTCTTTGGACTGAACTGTTAAATTAAAGGGAAAACCAAAATGTTTTTTCAATGATAGCTATAAGGATATCAGCAAATAGCGAAGCATAAGAAAAATGGTGTTATAATATATACAGTTTGGAAGCTTTACTTCAGATTAGCTCTTGTCTTGTCTACTGTATTGAATACCATCCAGGAGTGGGAGTATGTTGAGCTCCTGGAACACAGTTTTGAGTTTATTTTATCTGAATGGATTAAATCTGCATACTCCAGAATAAGAACCTAAGTACAGGAAGTGGATATGATCAGGGGATTTACTTCAGATATACTCCTCTGATCCAAATTAAAGTAGAGATGTTGATGTATGAACAGCCAATTTCTTCTTTGGTTATAGTGACAGATTCAAGTAGCTGACAAAATGTAAGTCATATTCACAATATGTGTTTGTTTTTCTCACAGTATAATGTGATAAAGTTATTCTGTGGTTTTGTTTTTCTTTTATTTTTTTTTATAAATAAGATACCTTTACAAACTATCACTCAAGGCATCCTTTTTTTTTTTTTTTAGCCATGAACATTTTGCAATGCTGTTTTTAGATAAAATTACTTCTAATTTGAAAGAATCCAAACACAAAAACCACAGAAAAATGCACATAATTTTACTGCAAGAAAAATCTACTGGATGTATGTGTTGTAATGGGTTACAACTGGCAAACAGCAAAATATTTTGTTTAAAAAAAAAAATTATTTGCTTGTTCCCCCATCCCCACAAAGGGATGGGGTGTGAAAATAAGAACAGAAAGTTCACGGATCGAAATCAAGATAGAACATTGGCTACCAATTGCTGTTGTGGGCAAAACAGACCTTACTTTGAAAGCAAACAAAGAAACAAATAACAACAACAACAAAAAACACAACTTACTTTCTTGCCAAGTAAAACATTTAATTACTAATTGGTGTACTGGGAAACAAGAAGACAAATAGTAAAGGAGCACTATTTCTTCCTTCCTTTCCCATGCTCTACTTCACTCCTTCACCTCAGACCCCTCTCCCCACCCTGAGTGGTGCGGGGTGGGAAGTTATAGTCAATATACAGCAGCTTCTCTCTCCTGCTCCTTTCTCTTCGCACTCCTTTCCCATGCTCCATTGTGATCTATTCTAAGTGCCTGGAGCACCTGCTCCCCATCCTCTGACCTTGGTGTCTACACAGCTGTTTCTCATTCCTTTTTGTTCTCACTTCTTCACTGTTCAGCATTTCCTCCCCCTTCCTAACTCTGCTTTCCCCAAGGTGCTGCCATCTTGGCTGCTGGGCCCAGACATGCGCTGTGGTAGGGCTGTCAGAATCGGCTGGAAGCAGCTGCGTGCAGCACAGGGAGCCCCAGCCTCTCCTCACAATGGTCACCTCTGCAGCTCCCATTCTACCAACACCTTGACACAGACACACCATTATTCTCATGTCCTTATATCTACAGAAGGTAGCTGTTAAAGGAGTAGCATCACTTTTTCCCTTCCCACTTCAAGTCCTCTTGATAAAAGTATTTTTAAAGGGAAAAAAAAATAAATTGTTATGCTGTACTCCATGTTAGTCTGAACTGCATTCAGTTTTGGACAGCATATTTTGAAATTAAAATAATTAAAAAAATAATGTAGAGGAGAGACAAGGAAATAACAAAATGTTTGAAAAAGAAGACATTTTCAGCTAAGTGAACTGGGAATGTTCTACAGTGAAAGATTGAAAAGGCATATAATTGTCCTTGAATCCAAAAAGCTGTATTTTAAGGAAGATGGGGACCAATTACTGCTTTTAGCAAGTAAGGACAGAAAGAGAGGCAATGGACTCAAACTGCAGAAGAGAACTGTGGATTAAATATTAGGAAAAACATAAAAGCTGTGCTAAAAGTCATGGAAAAGAGTGAGTTGCAGAGAATTAAGTGGAATTGGTCTCACTAGAGACACTGGAGGTTAGGACTTGACACCCATTCATAAGCAATGTTTTAGGAGTCCTGAAAATCAATTTTGCTATAGCGCGGTATTCTTGACCAAATGAACCTTCTCGACCAAATCATTGCTATATATGACTCCATGCCCAGTGAAAAGGAAAGCATTTTGTCAATTCCAAAACGAAGCTTTTGTTTTTGCAAAACAGAATGCACTGTAACTGTGGGGGGAAGCAGTTGGAAACAGGAGGTGGTGAATCATGATATATCTCTTTATTTTTTATGAAGCAGTTGCCTTGATATACATTCTATGCCAATATGTTGCTTACATTCTTTATTTGTTATTAATTCATGGTTTATGTAGATTTTTAGATACAAAGTGGTGAATAAAGATTTCTATATAACTACAGGATGGAAACAGCAAGAACTGGCAACTTCCTTGTATTGTCTCATCAATGTATTACATTCCCAGCTGAGAAAGTAAGAGGAAAGTTCAGTCTCCATACTCAGACAGCTTCCTACTGGGGATACATGCAGATAACTTATACTTGTTGTAGCATGCAGTCTACCACTTTTTGTAAATCAATGTTATCAACCATTTTCTTATCATTATTGACTTTCTCCCCCCTAAGGATAGAAAGGAGAAATGATTTTAAAGTACTGCATGATTTTGCATATAAACACGTCTATTCTGAAATAAGATACACGTACGTATTTAAAAAACAACACCAGAATCATCCACTAGTCACTGGGGATACACACAGAAATATACCTGTGGAGATTTTAAAGAATAGTTTTAAACACAATTACTGTTTTTGAAACACCCTCTTTTCTCTGTGTATAACTCAGTGAAACTAAATTAATTAGGCTACTTAATTCATATAAGTTACAACCAAAAGCTGGCATTAAGCCCTTGCACTCTGTTGTTCTTTGTGACTCAGAATCCAAAACCCAATGTAGGTGCAGAAACCTGATTTTGTTTTCGCTGATCGGTGTTATTACCCTGATTTAAATAATTTCTTATCAGTTGAGTTGCTCTTTAATTATATTGTGCCTTTTTAATATATATTTATTATAAAAGTAAAGTCATCTTCTCTGAAGGTGATTCTTGTATTTGAGCTAAACCAAAACCCCATGCGTGAACACCCCAAATTGATTCTCGCAGCACGCAGCAATCTGTTAAAATACACATTTCAGTTATTGCATTATATTTTATGTCTGACATCTGGTCAACACAGTCTGACATTTATCAGATGATTTTATTTTATAGGTGTTAACTTTTTGAATTGCTACTTTTAGGATTTCTTACTTTTTCTTTCCTTATCTCCCCCATTTGCTCCTCCAGGCATTGTCCACCTTTCAGGAATTCTCTCAGTGTTCCCTAAAGCACACAATTCTCCCTGTCAGCTTATCTCACAGACCTAGCAAAACTGAAAATTTCAGAAACTGATCTCAACCAACACTTAACTCCCAGCTGTTCATTTTCCTGACAGACCTGAACTATTTCGCAGAACATTCTGTTATTCTCTTCTTATTCATCATTTTGCTGCATGGTCAAAGAATAAACCGCAGATTCTTAGATTACGTTTCACACCATCAAAGTCTAGAGAAAAATATAAATGTATTTCTTTGTATGGACAACTTTGGCAATATAGAATCGTATAAATCAGGCCCAAAAAAAGAATTTGGATTTCTTATACTTCATTACTCCCAGACATGAGAAATGTGTTTGATTTCCATACAAAGACCCATTTTATCTCTGTGTATAATACATTATACACAATGCATTATACCAATGCTGCTGTCTCTCTTCCATTGGTTTCTATGCCTACATTGCTGCTTTTAAGGCTATGCAATAATAAAATTGCTAAAAATGGTCTCTCTCACGCTGTGTAGGCAGTATGTATATCGTAGTAAGTAATGCTTACTACGATGGATGCATGGTATCTTAAGCTTAGTATCCTAATGATTATATAGAGATTTTTTTTAATTCAATTTCTAAAACAGTCCATCTATTACTATGTGAAATAAAAGATTGTGGTTGAATGAAATAGCATTTACTCACTTCATATTATGACTATATTTTTGCTTCACTAAGTTTCAAATTAGCGAGTATAGAATAATAAATATATATATATATTTACACTGTTTTGTCAAGTACTTGGCATACTATCTGTTTATTAAACAGTATGCATTATAAAAATTGGAAGGGAAGCTCTCATATTTTGTTCAGCTGTAAAGGTACAGTAAAAACAGCAGCCAAAGGGTTAAGCTGAAAATCAACTATAAGGAAAAAGGAAGGGAAATTAATTTAAAAGAAACTTTGGAAGAATCTGGATAGAACCATTTCCTTGGAGTTCTCTGCAGACTTCCTGAGAGGTTTTGTGGTTTTTGGTTGTTTGTTTTGTTTTTCTCCCTGCCAAAGCAGCCTAATCTTTTCATTTTGCAAATTGGAGAATTAAAAAAAAATCTTTTTTCTTTGTTGTTTTTCTTTCCCTTGCTGTTCCAAAAGCCTGGTACTAATTTTTACCCAAAGTTTCATATCACCCACATTCATATACATGCTTTTTCCTGTAATCTTTCTTATCTAAATATCCATACATACGCACTTAGGCAGTTTCCAGCAATCCAACACAGAGTCAGGCTGTTGTTGCTGCTTCTCTTGAGAGAGCTGCTGATGGAAGGAGGAGGTGACACTTTCCAGAAGCTATTCTTTACATATTTAATTCTCTGAAGTGGCAGCAACTGCCTAGTATAGTTATCATACAGCAACTGTCTTCCTTGTGTGGCCTTCATTCAGTAGCAGCCCTACTGTCTGGCACAACCCCGATATTGCAAGTTTGGTTGCTATTTCTGTTGCTGATGTGACCCCTTGCTACAGGTTGGGACAAGATATATGTAAGAGGGAGAAAGGATAGAACAGAAATGTTCATTGGCAGATTTAGTAAAATTAGCCACAGAACGATGAAAAGGAATTGACAGAAGCAGGTAGAACAGTGGGAAAATTGGAAGCAGCTTGGAAGGTGCAATTTTGATACACATTTTGTGCTTAAAGATTAGTCCCATATCTTGTCCTATATGTTTTCTTCCAAACTCTGCTGAAGTCACTGTGGGGATTTCCACAGAGCTCAGGAAAATTTTACACCCAACTTTTAACATAGTATTGTCCTTTCCTTACTTCGTCAGTACTGAACTAACGCCTCACGGGGTGCCATGAGGCATAGTGCATCTTTCTGCAGTTGTAAAACTAACACCGTTTGAATTACACACAATATAAAATTATCATCATCATTATTATTTATTCCAGACTTCATGAAGAAGGTTGATTGTGGCCGAAGGCTCAACACAACTAAAATTAACAACATGTAGGTAGGAACATACACAAGAATGGAAACAGATAGTTTAAACAGTTTAATTAGTATTTAGCTAAGATAGTGATATTTAAGACTGCAGGGCCTGACAAAATTTATACTAGAGCAATTACAAGACATCTCATAAGCTTTTTTGAACTGCTACTTACAGTCTTTGAGAACCAAGGAGGTTTGTTTTAGTTTGGTTTTAGTTTGATTTACTAGTGAAAAATACTCCTCAGCTAAACCAGTCTTTAACAGAGGGGGAAAAAAGCACCGTTGTGGAAATCTGTGCTAATGAACATAACAGCAACACACAGAAAGATGCTGCTAGCTACTTATTAAACAAACAATGTGTAATACTTGAAGACAACAGTGAAATAAGAATCAGCAGATACAGATTTGTCAACAACAATATGTAGAAACATCTCATTCATATTTTTAAGAGGCGACAAGGATGGGGTAGATGTGATATAACTCAACAGAATCTTTATTTAGGAGACGCTGTTGACATAAATTTATAAGAAAACTAGAGAAAAGTGTTCTAGGTCAAGTGATTATAAAGTGGATGCACACCCAATTGAAATAAAATAAATAAAATAAAATAAAATAAAATAATAAAATAAAATAAAATAAAATAAAATAAAATAAAATAAAATAAAATAAAATAAAATAAAATAAAATAAAATAAAATAAAATAAAATAAAATAAATAAAAAAATCATGAAAACTATTAAGGGAGGTGAAGAGCAAAGAGCACCTCCTCCAGATTCTCCAGCTCAGAACCACTTGTGCCTGGCTGCTGGGGCCAGTGCCTGGGAACCCTGGGTTTCTGCCCAGGCTTTCACCTTTGCAGGTTCAACTGGTATCAAAGCT